TGTTACAACTAGAAACTGGTTAATCAATCCAACAAATGTGGTTAACAATAAAATATTAAAACCATGTAATAATTTCTTCCAAATTGTTATTATACTAATTGGCTTATGACTGATTATTGATTTCCAATTTATAAAGAACTATATTGGGCCTTCATGGAATATAAAAAAAAATCAAGTCAGGCTGCCTGAGAGTGCCTGGATCTGACCTCCACTTAGTGTCAATGGAATCCCACTCAAACTGGCCAAAAGCCCATAAACAGATGATGTAGAGACCCAAAATTTCCATGCCTTGCCACAATGGGAGGAAGAACATCCCACACCTACCACTTTCTCCAAGTTTCGGGGACTTTTGCAGAAGAGGTTGATGGAAAGAATGTAAGAGCTGGAGGAAGGGGTGGAGTGTTAACTGGAAATGTCCTCTGACCACAATGCTGGCAAGCTGTAGCCACACCTCTTTCCCACTCATCAAGGAGTCAATCAGGAGTCAGTTGCCCCCCTCACCCAATCAGTTGACCTTAGCTGCATGTGGGGGGAGTGACAAAGTCAAGAACACCAATAGACACCTCTGTCACAATTTTGTGAGTCTGTCAGGAGGTCACAGGATCTGTATTTAAAGTGGACTTTATGGCACAGCCATAAATGTACGATTCCCACTTTTCTGTAAATAAACCACTATCCTATGGTCTGTTAAAAAAATTAAATTTAATTTAAAAAATCAAGTGTAGGCTTGAGGACCTAGCTTCAATTCCTAGTACTGCTACAAATAAGCAAGGACAAAAATGAATAATTAATTAATTAATTAATCACATATAATTTCTAACAGAACAATAATGTCATTTGTTATACTTCTTGCAAAATGCATTTTAATTCTTATCTTGAATATTTCATTACTGCTTAAATAATTCAATCACCTGTTTCTGTTAAACTTGTAGAGAAGTTGATGAATCACTGTTATCACTTTATAATCATCTTTAGTAAGAACAAAAGATTCACCTCATTACATCAAACAGAGATAGCAAATTTCTGATTCAGTCAAAAAGGACCAACTTTGTTCTTAAGTCTAATATTTTAGACTTTAACCCTGCTTTAAATGTAGCTACCATGGCATAAAAAATTCCTGGATAGAACTTTATTATAATTACATGTGAATCCATGTTATTGCTCAATTATCTCCTGATGAGGAAAGCAAACAGTCAATCGAGATTTGTGCTCCATCCCTAAATCAATTCACAACAAAAATTTACCAGATCAATAATATCACATTCATCTTGTTTTGGAATCCTGGGTCTCTCTCTCTCTCTCTCTCTCTCTCTCTCTCTCTCTCTTTCTTCTCCTACATCCTCCTCCTTGTCTTCTCCATCTAATTTGTCCACTTGAACAGTTTGGTCAATGTTTTACAGGTACTTCCTGCTCACCATAACAAGCCTCTATTAAAAGCAAGAAATACCCCAAAACTTAGGGTTAAAACATTTACTGTTTTATTTTACATTTATAAATCTTACTTCCAATGTAATTTGATCTAAAAAAAATCTTAGATCTACAAATGTTATTTGCTGTCTTACTTTTATATAGTTATTTGATTAAATGACATAATCAGGATAAGTCTTATAAATGGCAGTATTGTGTGTGCTTATGTATAATATACTAATATTGCTGTTCTAAGTTTTTGTAAAACTGCATCTCTTGTTTTTTTTCTGTTTTTCCATTTTAATGTTTTTATTGGATTTTTGGACCTTTCATAAAATACATCTTAATCAAATTTAGACCCCCTCACCCCTCCCTGCCTCCCATAGCAGCACTCCCCAACACAACACATTTCAGGTATTCTGCCATATATCTTAAGTCTTATTCAGTCAAGCATTTCTATCCAAGTGTCTCTTCTTTCTTTTTTTAATGCTCCCTACTTTTTATTTATTTTTATGGTTTTCATGCACTTCATACAATAGATCCAAAATTAGACCCATTCACCCATTCGCACCCCCTATAGGCACCCTCTACTGGATTTCGTGGATTCTGTCATATATGTTAAGTTCCATGCAGTCAGGTTCCTGTACCCCAATGACCTTCAGTACTAGTTCATCTTGTGGAATTTAGTCAGCATATCTGGAGTCACTCCCTTAAAGAAGATCTATTCTCCCTCATCCAGCATTAATCAGTTGCCAATAAATCCTCAGCATAGGTTTGGGCCTGCTGTCTATTTCCCTCATTCTATGGTGAGTTTTTGTCTGATTGAGTCAGCATGGGTCTTGCGCATGAACTTCTCATAAATTCAATTTCAAACCATAGATTATTTTATTTCAAAGATTTGATTTTCCTTTCAACATTATAACACACTTTATATTTTATGGAAATTCTTTTATTTTGGTTTTTATTTTCTATGATATCTAGTTTTTACAAAATTATGGGAAAATTTTGAAATTCTCTATGTATTAGAAGCTTTCTACACCTTTCTAATCTTGTTTGATGACGATGGCAAGTGGTTATTTAACAGGGCATAGTGTCTTCAGTGCATGGATCATCAAAGAAGGGCCTGGGTATACTAACGGAAACTACAGTAGTATAGAATATGGAATCTCTATTTGACGTTTAAGGAGTTAAAGTTTTATTGAAATGTATGTATTTGACAATGTTTAGGGTCTGGCTGTTCTTTGCACATACCAGTGAATACAGATATAAACAGTCAGGAGAACAGCTGAAGAGATAATAAATGAGAACTTAATAAGCCAGTAAATCTAAGAACTGCTGAGAAGCCCATGTTTTTAATCAAGCTTGATATATGATCGATACACATGCAAGACAAAGGGCATAGCAAAGTAATGAAAACATCATGTATTTTTCCCAAAAGTAACCTAGGTGTCGTATATTAAGTCTTTCTTATATTTTCATGTTGTTTGTGGTAGAAAATATGAAAAATGTTGAAACATAAATTTGTATTGATTATTGTCAGTAGACAATAAAGGTGATTGTTATGGAGAGTTTTCCATACTTTTCATATGGTGTGCTTGTAGTGTAGCCCCTAATTAGGCAAAAGAACAAAAGAGAAAATGAGTACAACTAATAATCAGGTTGTTCACTGAAATAATTTGAAAAGTAGGTAATTTCCAAGAAGTGTGAAAAATATTTTAGGAAAAGTAATTAAACAATATGTGTTCTAGATATTTTATAAAAATTATAGAAATTG